CTGTGCTAATGAAGGTTGATTGGAATTACCATGTTGTTGTTGTTTAGTCGTTTAGTCATGTCCGACTCTTCGTGACCCCATGGACCAGAGCACGCCAGGCACTCCTGTCTTCCACTGCCTCCCACAGTTTGGTCAAACTCATGCTGGTAGCTTCGAGAACACTGTCCAACCATCTCGTCCTCTGTCGTCCCCTTCTCCTTGTGCCCTCCATCTTTCCCAACATCAGGGTCTTTTCCAAGGAGTCTTCTCTTCTCATGATGTAGCCAAAGTATTGGAGTCTCAGCTTCAGGATCTGTCCTTCCAGTGAGCACTCAGGGCTGATTTCCTTAAGAATGGATAGATTTGATCTTCTTGCAGTCCATGGGGCTCCCAAGAGTCTCCTCCAGCACCATAATTCAAAAGCATCAATTTTTCGGCGATCAGCCTTCTTTATGGTCCATGTAGGGATGAATTAAAGATGAAGTAATTTGCCTAGGACTTAGGCATTTCCTTCAAAGCAAAGGTTCCTAAAATGAGAATTTAGGCTCTTTTAAAAATTGATACCAGTAATCACTAAACCTTACCCGTCAGAGCCAGTGCAAGTTAGGTTGATCACAATCTGCTCAACAGAATGTTTCTCTGTTTGCTCATTGCCTTTCATAGCTTTTGCTCAAGCTGACCATGTTCAGCTTGTGATTGTCTTTAGACCCCTAGATCCTTTCTGCATGTACCCTTGACCCAAGCTGGCACATGTAAAGGACATCAGAAGAACTGTATCTCTTTGTGGGGAAATCCAATGTAATCCAGTCTTGAGGCCACCCGAGAACTAGGGAAACTGAGTACTGTTTAAGAACAGCCCTGTTTACGAATTATTCGGTTTACGAACTCCACAAAACCGGAAGTAGTGTTCTGGTTAGCGAACTTTACCTTGGTCTAAGAACGGAATCCAAACGGTGGAAGGGCACTGGTGGTGGAAGGCCTCATTAGGGAAAGCATGCCTTGGTTTAAGAACGGACTTCTGGAATGGATTAAGTTCGTAAACCAAGGTACCACTGTATAGCCTTAAACTAGTTGGGGAGATTGGCTGTATTCTTAATGGGGCAGAATGATACATTTTGGCACCCTTTAAATATATTATCTGAGAATAAATAAAAATATAAATAACTGGATTGTTTAGAATTTTAGGAGTTGCTCTCAGTAACTCCTGCAGTGGCTTGGAGAATCTCACAAAATATACAACTGGTAGATCAATTCATTCAAGATAAAAAACCCAAAACACCACCGTATCTGCTCACAGGCTTTTAAAGTCAACTGTATCTAGTGCATTTAAAGGTCTTCATTTAGCATTGTGAACTGCCTCACAAAAAGAAGACACACTTAAAGTGCTTTTAATTAAATCTGGGGTGAGAACTAATTTTTGTCCATCAAATCCAACACCCTGCTGTGCCACTGCTTTTATTTTTTCCCCTTTCTTCTGTTCGCTCTGAATTTTTTCAGTCAGAAAACCTTTCATACTCAGACTGATTTGTATACCTCAGCATGGATGTAATTATATTATAGATACATTTGGGAAATTGAATAAAGATATGTCTTCATTATCTTGTGCAGTAGAGAAAGCAATTATCTTAATCTCACAACAGATTCATTATACGTATTAATCCTTAATTCTACGTACAATATGAGATTACCACTTCTTTTTGTGGTTTTGCTTCAAAGTGTAAAATTAGATAAAATTTCAAGTTCTAATAAAATGTTTGTCTCAGAAGAAATTCTACCCCAATCCTATACGGATGTTTTAGTGCACCACAACAATGTGCTAAGATATTTTAGAGCTGATATGTTATTTCTGGAATGGGGAACCTGTAGAACCTCTCCAGATGTCTCTAACACCCACCAGCTGCAGCCAGCATGGCCATAGTCAGGGATGATGGGACTTGTAGTCCAAGGACATCTGGGGGGCACCAAGTTTTCACTTTGGCCTTCTCTGAATTCAGATAAACATGCTTTCCTTTCAAAATTCTGCATCTCTCCTTTTACTTTATTTTTTATATTTGCATCAGACAGCAGTGTCTTCTTAGACAGTGTTTCATAATAGGATGGATCTCCTGTTGATCTCCCATAAAGTTTGGGAGATATCGTTCTCTGATCAAAAATAACTATTCATAATATTCCCAGTGAGCATTGTCTACACTGAGTGGGCAACCTTTTACCATGGAAGGCTGCATTCCCGGTATTGGCTGGGGCCAGAGTTAGTGCAGAGCAGGGCCAGGAACCACCATCCCGACTCTTAAGAGAGGGAGAAATAACATGTAATAAAAGAGAGATAGTGAGGATGGGGTGGCGATTATCTCAACTCTTCCCTTTCCTTGCCACCAACATGAAATTAGGCTAAGGACCATGTGCCCCAAAGGCAAGAAGTAGCCTACCTTTATCTGGATGGAAACAGGTTTTCTTTGACTTGTTAAGCTTTTAAAAACATTTATTTCCCCCTTCTGGGGCAGAATTAGGCTACATTGCTATATACGCTTACTTCAAAACAACCCTTATACAGTGGGAATTTTTTGCAAGGGAATATGCATTGGAACAAACCATTCGTCCTGAAACCATTAGTCCCCCAAAACCTGAACATTAGAGCTGTGTGGTGACGGTGCATGTCTGTCTATGCCAGAGCCCAAAGAAACACAATTGCTTTCCATTTCTTTTTGGCTTTGTGTTCATTTCTCTGGTTGCTTTCTAATTCATTTGTATTCTGAATGCGTCACAAAGGTGTTCCCCCCTGTTCTGCTTAGATTGCCTGTCAGAATACTTACACACGGGGGTTAAGATTGAAGCAATGTACGGTACTTGACTAAACCTTAGAGCCTCATCCAGTCCAAGTAATTTTTTTTCTTCACAAACCATAATACTTCTTTAGCTTTCAGCTATTAATAAAGAAAAAGCCAGCAATTCCCTTTCCTCTTCCATTTTAAAAAAGTGTGTCAGATAAATTTGCTGGCAGAAAAGAAGCACGGGACTCTGAAAACTGAGCTTATGTCTAATCTTACTTTGTTTATGATTGGAATTCAGAGGGTAAAAGCATGCAAATGGGTGTTGCTGAAAATTAAAACAGGAACAAGTGCTAGTACAACTACGTGGCATCGATTATTTCTTTGTCATCCACTCCACATTATCAATCCCTCCCAGTAGTAGACAGCATGATGGTGTGCCTCTGCTCACCTGCCCTCTGGTTGGTCACGTGACTACTGGTTACCAGGAAGTAGAGAGGGTCAGCAATTTCACATTTGGGTTTTTAAAAGCTCTCAGTCAGATGCCATCTGGACTTGGCAATTTGTTAATTTTTAATTTGCCAATGAGACCAACTTCATCACTAGTATTTGCCTTAGTTCTCCCCTCCCTCTCATCAGCAGAACTGTCCCATAAGTGGGACTTCAGGTCCAATCTCATAGCTGTGTGGAGATTGCCATGTGCGTGCGCACATGCAGACATAATAGGAGATTGCAGCAATTCTCATGACTTTGGGGGGGTTACCAGCATCTATAACCTTGACGTAAACAAACAGCTAAGCCAAATTATAAAGCAATAATCAAAGGTATGAAATGAAGCAAAAGTGGTTTCTCTTCTACTATTGAAATATTTCCAGTTTGATCATGGAAACGAGTAGAGAGAATTATCATTGTGATTGGCCTTCTGAGCTTTAGACAAGGGGAAGATTGTCATGGAAGGGAGAAATATTAACGGGAGCTCGAGTATCACAGATTGCTGTGGCTATTTTCTGCTTGATAGGGTTCTGTTTAGGCCATAATTATGCCTAAGCTGTAGTATGATGGTTTATGTTGCTGTTCAAGTGAGAAAATTGTTTTTCCGTCCCAAAGTCTCAGACTTTATTTTCAAGGTCAGGTAAAATAATGATGTAAGAAAGAAAAAACGAATTCCACAGAAATTATAAAGCTTTCATGTCTTGACAAACATATTGCTTCTGCATAAATAAGCCAACACTAGGCTGGAACTCAAATCTGTGTCTGTATAAAATGTAACAAATAATTGAGCATTTAGGCCTCATCATGACGACTATGCCGGTTTGTGCTACCATTTGGCTCACTGCTGTAATAACGGCCAGATGAGTGGGTGAGACCAGACCTACATTCACCTTATTTCACCCAACAACAATCCAATAATAACCCAATAATAGTAACAATCTATTCAATTCGGCCAAAAATGTTTTGTAGTTGGCTGGATTTTTATTTTTTTTACTGACTCTAAAGAGGCATTTCTGGTAGTCTGTCAAATACTTGTTGACAGCAGCTCTCCAAACTCATTGGACTGATCTGCAGTCTCCATGGATCCCAGATACTGCAGTTACAACTCTGTAGTACATCCCTCCTCTGATGTACCTTGGTCATCCATAATGTGAAGAGCTCACTTCCTCAGCCTTGGTCTTCCACTTATGTGCATTGCAGTGGCATGGCAGCAGATAATTCCCTTTGGATCGGGATAGTAGCAGGGTTAAAGCAGGGCGTAGCCTGGAAAACTAAGAGGCAAGGAACCCCAAAGAAGCTCAGAAAGGAGAACAACAAGTTGACATGCATGCACCAATTATTTGTATTTCAAATCTCATAGTAGTGTAATGCCTCAAAATACATATTGAAAATCCGGGGGCTGTTACTAGAAGCTTACACAAGGTTTGATTCAAGGGGACTAATTTAGAAACAATAAATGTTTATTTGGAGCATTGCTATGTGAACACAATTTTAATTATCAGCTTGCGGTAAGCACATGATTCAGTTGCTTTAAGACTCAAGACTTAGTGTTCCATGAGGAATATATAATTACCAACAAAACTTTTAATTTGTTTATTATCTAAATTTTTCAAAAATTTACTAAATAAAGTATCATACACACACCAATCACATTATAACACACATTTAAGCTACTTAGCATTTCAGTCAGGGCTGGATGCTTTTTCTGTTGGCAGTATCAGTTTGTGCTGCTGTACCGCAACCAAATCACTTTAGGTCAGACACTTCCACATAGCTCAGTTGATAGAACATGAGACTCTTAATCTCAGGGTTGTGGATTCGAGCCCCACGATGGGTGAAAGATTCCTGCAGTGCAGGGAGTTGGACTAGGTGATCCTTGTGGTCCCTGCCAACTCTGTGATTCTATGATGATCTGGATTGTGTGACTTAAGCTATTGAGGCCTGGTGGGTTATTGCTCAGGCTTTATGTGAGAATAGTTGGACTAGATAGAATAACTCTTTAGTGTCTTCCAACTGTGAAGCTATAAATATGACCCCCTCTCCAATTTTTGATAAGGATGGAGATATAAAATTTATCTTGTGTTTTTGGTAAAGTGTTAGGAGAAAGGAAAGGTCAGTGTTAAAATATTTTGCTATCCTTACTGGCTGATTTTGTAGCAATAGAACGTTCCAAGTTGGCTCAGAAGGAGAAACTCTAGCACAGCCTTAGTTATTTCAAGTATTGTGACAATACTTTCTTTCTCACTTGAATTATTTGGAAGTAAGATGGTGATATTTATTACCATTATTTACTATAGCTCTCTATGAAATGGTAATAGTCAATTTAGTTACAGAATCAGAGACCTATGGTTTTTATATTACTATATCAAATAACAAGAGGCGAAAGCTTAATTTTGCCTGGGGTTGCAGACTTCTCCTGTCAACAGCACACAAAGAGCCTCTTTTCCCTCATTCAATCACCACAGCATTTTAGCATCATTGGTTTATTTTTAGTTCAGCACTGAAGGGGAGAGCTTGCATGAAATGCATGTGGTGCTCCACAACTCCTGCATAATGTGTGTGTGTGTTCCTTCTGTGTCTTTACGGAGGTTAGTAATGCTTTTAAAGATATATTTTGGACCAGTCCTAGCATTAGACAGATATAGATGGCTTACCGTATGTCAGATTATTGGTTCATCCAGCTATCTCAGAGAAGGATCTCCCCACAGCCCCTCCCTGTTTCCTGGGATCCTTTTAACAGGGGTGGGGGGAATCAGGGATTGAACGAGGGACCTACAGCAATAAAAAAACATGTCTTTCTGCTGAGCTGTGGCTACTCCCTAGAATAATGCTCATCTGTTAAGCTGCGTTCAGACAGCACTTTGTTGCATTATATCAGTGTTACGTTACCTGATAATATCTGCATTTTATGTGATTTTTCACGCAAAGGAGAAGCTGCTTCTGGAAAACTTGCAGAATCTTGCAAAAGTTTAACACTAATTTCCATGTTCGTCTCCTCCAGGGAAAAAACCTCGTTTGCAACCCCATTAACTCAGAATAATCGTGGGAGTTCTGCAGTGTAATTTTCCCGCCATTTGCAAGGGCCACAGCATGTGATAAAATTTGGAGTGGTGTTCCAGCGTATGCTTCTTTCCTTCTGTTTCATGGGTGAATCATGGGGGGAACAGAAGCACACATATGCATAAAGGGTGGCGATACGCTCTATGACATCCACTGTTGTGTCAAACCGTGGCCACTGGTGTGAATGAAATTAAGTGTGATATGGTTGTATGATGATCAAAAAGCCACAACCTAACAGGTAATGCAGCGTAAAAGGAACATTGGAAACCGAGACAGAAGCGCTGGCATTATATCCAGGAAAACTAATGCAATACCGCCACCCCCATACTGAATACACCCTTAGAAATGTCAGGTTGCAACCCCGAGATCTGTGGCAAAACTGCAGGCATGGCACCCCTCAGGCAGGCTCCCTCATCTTCTGCTGTGTCAGGAAATGGAATATGTATTGTGGATCGATGCTTTGAAACCTCCCAACTCAGCAGTGAGAATAACTAACAGATTGAGTCTGGTTTTGTCAAACGCTGAAAGCTTTAAAAGACTACACACGTTTCCTGAAATTAGAACCTCATTTGGTGTGTTTTAAAGATGAGACAGCTACAAATGAAAGAGCATTTGTTTGTAGTTTGTACGGTTGCTGTTGGTGTGTGCGCGCATGTGTCACCTCATATGATGAATACATATCAGAAACAGACCGTTTTTGACCTTACACATTGCTCATTTCACACATCTTTTTAAGTCACTGTATTTGAAAAAAAATAATGTTCCAATAAAGAGTAATTTAAAAGAAAAATCAAAAGAAGATCTACAGATACAGATTGTTGCTTTAAAACAATTGCCTTGTGGATTCTGATGGATGGAGAGGCAGGATATAATTATTTATTTTTTAATATTTCTAGCTGATTGCATTATGGTATGAGAGCCCAAACCGTGTTCTACAAGCTTCATTCAGGTGGCATGTGCATGTCGGTTAAAAAACCAGTTTAAAACCATATATCATCTACCAGAGTGCATTACAATTGCTACCGAATTAGCACATTTTGCTTACACTTGAGGTATTTTTGTATCTACTTAATGATAATTATTATACCAGTGGAACCATTGTGAGTTTAATACTATAAGACTCTTGCAGATTATCTCCTTTCCTTGGCATATTATAAAAGTGTTCAAGATTATTGAAGCGTCATTCTTTAAAAGTTGTTGTTTAATACAGTGAATCAATAGGAACAAAATTATCCACTGCAAGAAAAACAGCTTCAAACAGGTCTCTGAAGCCTTTTCTGTTAGAACTTTTACATAAAAATCAGACTTCATTAAGACAGGAAATTTTCAGACTAGAATCTGCTTCTTTCAGAAAACAAAAAGAAACACACACACACAAATCCACTGTCTTGGATGCATATTACGTTCTGGAAGGGATTTGAGCTTTAGGCAAATTGTATGAAATGTGTGGGTAGCAAAACACTTCCTTGCCTAGGCAGGCTGCTTGCTATATAGTAACTCCATGAAATTACAGTTTACGTTTCTGCTCCAAATGTATTCAACTGTGTGTTCATGCTTACAAAGAATTGTCAAATACTTCAACATCTAATTACGGCTTTCACAAACATATGTTGGCTGAATTAATTCAACATAAATTTTCTCGTAATAGAAGCTGTTGCACTTTCTTATATTGCTTGCAAAGGAATATCCATCGTTCACCACAAAGTGCCATAATATGTTGCTCAATAGAAACAAACAATGCCATTCAGGAGCACTTAAGGCCTTTTCTCTCTGCTCACCTTCCTCATCCTAGCCATGTTTCTTCAACAAACATGACTAGAAAATTACCGCATACTCTCCCTCCCTCCCGCCCTCCCTCCCCTCTTTACAATAAAGCAGTGCCAGATTTACACATTCCTTCTCTTTCCCCAAGATCTGAGGGTGGTGCATTAAATGTGCACTTGCATTTCACGCATCTGCTTTTAAAAATTCCTATAGCAACTGCCAGGGGTTGAAATCAGGACTGTGCTACACTGGGAGGCCTTTCTTCACTCCCCAACTCTGCCACCCAAAAGTTGCTGTTAGGCTGATCTGCTCATCCCTACTGCCAGAGCTATTTTCGTCTTGTGGCCCAGGTTTCATCCACACACAGTCATGGGTCTGTGTTGCCATGTTTACATGCTTTTTTAAAAACAAGGCTCCTATGAAATCCACATGGTTCTGCGGAAAGAAAGCATATTCCTAAGTAGTCCAGGGGTGGCTTTTTGCCTTACTGTGGTACCTTGGGTTAAGAACTTAATTCGTTCTGGAGGTCCATTCTTAACCTGAAACTGTTCTTAACCTGAGGTACCAGTTTAGCTAATGGGGCCTCCCGCTGCACAATTTCTGTTCTCATCCTGAAGCAAAGTTCTTAACCCGAGGTACTACTTCCGGGTTAGCAGAGTCTGTAACCTGAAGCGTCTGTAACCAGAGGTACCACTGTATTTCCTTTTCAAACTTTTTATAACTGTTTGGGGCATGGCAGTGGCATAGTAAGGGGGTTGCGGTGGGTGCGGGCCTCCACAGGTGTCATCACTGAGGGGGGGTGACAAAATGGCAAAAATATGTGCTTTTAAAAAAATAACTCCTGCACCCACTGCTCCCCCTTTCTATGCCACTACAGGAACACTCTCCCCTTGAGTGATTTCCAGAAAACAGAAGGATTCCTGCCTCCAACTTTGCAGGCAAAGCATAGCCTTTATGGCTAGTAGCCTTTGACAGCCCTCTCCTCCATGAATCTGCCTAATCCAGAGGTGTATCTAGGTGAGCTGGGGGGGCACTGGGCGCCACACTGTGGAGCTTGCAGTGTGCCTGAGCCATGCATCTCTCCTGATGGGGAGGTGGCGGGTGGACTGCCTGGAAGCTCCCCACTGCTTTTTCGAGCAGCGTGGGGCTTGCGCCTGCCCACCACCTCAACTGCCATACAGCTGAGGGGGAGGCTGCGGAGAGGCTCCACACAGCGCGCCCTGCCTTGGCTTGCCCTGCCCCCATGGGCAGCTTGCCCCACCCCCATGAGCGGTTTGCTCTGACCCCGGCTGCAGGGCGCACGCGCCGCCCCAGGCACTGGTACCTAGGAACACAGGGAGCTGCCTTTTACTGAGTCAGGGTGTTGGTTCATCTAGCTTAGTATTGCCTATGGTGATAGGCCAATGACTATTCAGATTTTCAGACATGGGATCCCCTGAGTGCTCTCCCAGGTTGCTCATAATTTTTCATCCCTATTCATTCATTCATTCATTCATTCATTCATTCATTCATTCCCCTGTTTAGGGAAGTTATTAATGTTTGATGTTTTCTTGTGTTTTCAATATTCTGTTGAGAGCCGCACAGAGAGGCTGGGGAAACCCAACCAGATGGGCAGGGTAGAAATAAATTATTATTATTATTATTATTATTATTACGGAGCGAGGGGAACATTACTCATCACTAGTGGTGATGGATCCATTCGAATTTGAGAAGTTAACCTATCACTCGTCCTTCTCTGCCATATTGCATACAAGGATGCCATCAATTCTACCAAGCCAACTGTGCAAGCAGGCTTCATAGCCTTTATTTTATTTTATTTTTTATAGTGGCCTTCTGGATTCTCCTGCTTCCAACAAAATCAATAGGGCTGTGTGCCCTCGATCTAGAGAAGCTCCTCTGATAATGTGGAATTGATCAAATGCCATTTTGTTTTCTGCAGTTATTGCATTATAGACAGAAAGAAGATTGCCCTGGTATTGAGTATAGTACCTTCCCTCTGCCGTTTCAGTGAAGAGAG